TCACTTTTTATACACTTTTTATTTAGTGTGAACAGCATGTAAACAAACTTTAAAAATGAGATGAAGCCTGTAGATACATTTTTATGTGAAGAAAATCCAAGGGAAACTATCATAACAGTGTAATTTTGATGAACCTCATCTGCCGTCATGATGTCGGTGAATCACATTGGCCGTCGCTCGCTCGCATTACTGGGCCATTCTACAGAATTGGTGCAAACTAGTGTCCCACAACCAAAAAACACATTTAAATAGCATTTAAGTATTCAAATCTTAGATTTTTACTAAGGTCCTTCTATTATCTATTGAAACCTACAATATTATTTAAAATATTAGTAAGCTTAATATAAAATCATAATTTATTGGGTACTTTCAATTGGGAGGTGGCTGTCCCGAACCCTAAGCCCTAAATTTCAACTTATGAAAATTATATTGAAATAATTTTTGCATTTCATTTCTATTTGACTTTTTTTTTTTTTTTTTAAGTGAAGTTTATAAATCTTTATAAATCATGAAAATTTATGTAAAAAATGTGTCCCACATTTTCATGTCACTACCGAAACATTGTATGTTTTAGTCTATTGGCTGAGACGGAATTTAAACACACCTCTACATTTATGATCAGGAAATATTTATGTGTCACTCTCTCTCATAGCTACAGGGTGAGTAGATAGGCCCCACAATTTTGAGGTAAATGTGTTCAAAAGTCTGAAAATCTGTGTGTAACTTTAAGGAACGTCACAACCTAACACATTTTTTTCTGCAATTAAGCACACTTTTTTGGGTGTTATTCCTTAACAATTATAGTTTTTATGTGTGTTCAACTGTTCAGAACTGTGCTAGCTAACCATGTGCTGGTTAGCATCTTTGAGCTGGGCCCAAAAGTATCTAAAACAGTCACGACCAGACATGTCATCGTTTTGGTAGCGACAAAAGTTAACACATAATCCTTTATTTGGGGGAAATAAGCAATATTTTAGTACAGTTATGCAAATGTTTAGTTTGTATGTTTTAGTTTGTGAGTTAAAATTCTGTAATGTGATTGCTACCAAAATGTGCAGTCACAAACATGGGATGTTGTGTCAAAAATAAATCATATTGAATTATCAACTAAGATGTTATGATAGTGTTTGGTTCAATTTATGTATTCAAACTAATGAATTCTTAACTTTGAAATCAGTATGATTAACTTTACAAAGAAAGATTGGATTCAAAATACTACAAATCTCATAAATTACACTTAAAATATTGTTAAAATTGTTATTGACCTGTGAAAACTTTTTTAATAAAATAGCAAAAAATAAATAAGGTAGAAGTAAACAAAATCTTAATAGGTCAGTATAACCCTTCTTATTAAATTATATATTATTGTGTTTCGGTTGTGACAAATTTGGGGAGTAGAAAAATATTCCAAAACTTTCTGAAAATGCAATATGAGAATTAACTGCACAATTGCTAGTAGTGTGTTAAGTAAACACAGTCAGTTGTGTCATAGTGAACATAAGAAATGAGAAGAAATATGAATCAATATATAGTATATATAGTGTTAGGGTAAAAAAAAAACATGTTATTAGTTGTCCAAGGAGGGGAAAGCACTTCTCTTTGTCTTATGTGTGTATCTAACTCCAGCAATACTAAATGGCACTGTCTCTTGCACTTCAAATGATTGCTTGAAAATATTGTTTGTATTTTCAAATTACTTTTATTTTAAAGGGGTCATTGTCAGGGTTTTGCCCTGACACTCTGGTTGTCTTGTTTTTTGTTTCTTGTCTCCCTATTTATAGTGCCCCTTGCCCTATTGTCTTTGCTGGTTCGTGGTCATTCTTTCCCTCACTGTGTTTGTCTCTGTCTGTGGATGTGGCTGATTATGTGTTCCTGTCTCCCTGTCTGTTTGATCTTGTGCTCTAGTCTTGCCCTAGTCTTGTCTCTTGTAATTCTATGTTCTTGTCTTGCTCCTTGTTTTTGGATTTGATCTGTTTTTGTCTTTTTGCTTTTATTTTAGTGTTCATTTCGTTATCTTAGTCCTGATCTCTTGTTTTCATTTTTTGGTTGATGTTTTAGTTATGTGTTGGTTAATTTTAATAATTTTTAGCTTTTTTTTTTATTAGTCCTTTTTGTTTATTCTCTTGCCTGTCTTGGAGTAATTTGTGTTCCTGTGGAGCTATGTTTTGTCTTGTTGTGGTGTTAG